TTCTTAGCTACCAGTTTCCTCTCTGCTATTCAATTTCTGTAAGTGCAAAAAAAAAAAAAAAAATGCAGGGCAAAGTTTTGTTATAAAATTTGATTATTTTCCATAGCATAAACATTGGTGGATTTTAACCTAATTAATTTGGTTATGAGATTATTTTTAAAGATGGCATTGGCAATATCTTTCTGAGATCAGATTAATCTTGTAAGTTGTAATTCAGTGGATTTCTATAATAAATCTTTCAGCGTCGACAATAAATTGCTGTATTTCAATGATATCTTATTTTAAGGTCTCAGCTCATGGCAAATTTTATGGAAATGCTTTGTTTTTTAATTAAAAAAGAAAAAAATCTTCATGAACAAGAGGGTGTTCAATTTAAAAATGTCTGCAGGTATAAAATCAAGTTCTCTAATGTCTTTGTAAATTCTGATTTGACATGTCCAAATGTGTTCCATGTACATGTACAGACAAAAATAACTCATCTTTGCAATTGAACTAGATTCTTATTTATGGTTTAATTTTTCTCATAATTTCAAGCAAAGTGAGTTCTGTTTGAATGCTTGTATTTACTGGTTAATTATAATTCTCTGCTACTGTAGACTTTGAGTATAAGTGATTTTAAAAGGATTCTCTTGTCTCTTTGGATAGGTAATTATAATAAACTTTTACAATAAATGAATTTGGGTTTCAATTTTTAATTGCTTCAACTTTGGTTTTTAAAGATTCTTTTAAATTTAATTTTTCTATGGTTCCAACCATTTTTCTAGTTTTCAGAAAGTATTTGAACACATTGTTCAATGCATTTTGACAACAGTTTCATGTGTGTTTATAAGGTCCTTTTTATCAGATGCATATCAGATTAACAATTGCAAAAATAAAACTATCATTTTATATTCAAAGGCAAAAATACTATTGAATATTTTTGTTTCAAAATCTTAGTATTTTTGAAAAAAGAATAAAATCCCAATATATATCTCGCTTTAATTTGTACTTAATGTTTAACTACTTTTTTTTTTCTATTATACTGAATTGTATAAAATTCTGTAATTCTATATTTTCCCAAGTATACTATAAAAGTATTTCCAAGTTTGCTATAAATGAAGGTAACATGTGTTTTTTTTTCTTTTTTTATGATATCCCTGAAACTTAAAATTTCAAGTATTATGGAGATTTTTCATATTCTTACTTTTATAGAATTGTTGTGATACTAATTATTTTGTTTTTTTTTATTTTAGTCACTTTTTGTTTAGATTAATAAATATATTTGCTTGACTACAGGAAACTGTTTCAATTGAGATTATCTCTTTTCTGGTGTGATTTAGTCAAAAAACTGGTTAACATATATTTTTTTCTCATCTTAGGAATTCACAATTAAATTAAAACAAAAATTCAGGATTATGCACTACACTATAAAATACCAGACTCATCTGGAAAAAAAGGATTCATTCTCTGATATTTTATAAACAAAATTAGCCAATAAAAGATATTATTTTAAATAAGGCAATACTGTTTACTGTGTTATATAGTTCAGTATTACAGGGATTAAACAAGTAATTGAAAAATTGAATCTAGAAAAAACTTAAATTCTGAGATATACAAAAAAAAACTTTTCTATATAACAAGTTGTTACCTAATTTTAAATTCTCTTGTTTCAAGTTTATCTTGTATTTTATTGTTTATATGGTGAAAATGAATATAGTTATTTTATTTCTTTTAAATTGAAAATGGAAGACAAAGAATCTTTACTTCAATCAGCTAAGGAGTGACAAATTAAATTTTCTGTTTTGTGGGCTTAATTAAATCCTGAGCACCAGCACTGTTTTGTTATTTTATTGATTTAATGTGGTATATCATGTTAAATTTCTTAGCAGTCATAGAAAAGAATTGGTGAAATAAATAAATACACAGGCATACACACAGTTGTTAAAATCACTAATATAAGCCATAGGAATTGTAATTCAGTTTTTCTGATGTTTTAACTTTGAAAAAAATTTTGCATTATGTGTTAGCAGTTCACACATATGTTTTTGGGCTTTATGCAAAGACAAAGATTATCTACAGTATTTACATTAGTTGGACTATTGTCCTCATTTTTGTCACCATATTTGTCACAACGTTTCGGCCATTGTACACTCCGGCCTTCTTCAGGTGGTTGGAATTTTGAACTGAACCCTTTATTTTCGATCACTGTAAGGCTTCAAGAACACCAAAAGCTGTAACGCGAGGAAGTAGAAAAAATCAGGCGTGGCTGACCACATATGGAGAGAGAGGAGATCACCGTCCCCTGTGGGATCATGTTGAGATCATAGACAGAGAACGCCATTGGAAAATTCGTAAACTTAAACTTCAGCACATATGCTAGGGGCCACAAAAATCTCCTGAGCCGACCAAGCATAGAAATAAATACAATATGGGAACCAGTAATAAGGAGTGCCAGAGAAAAGCAATGAAACAAAGTTGCAATATGGGCTCTGGTAAAAACATGCAATGATAACGGCAAAAATTGCAATATGAGCACTGGTAAAAAAATGGTTGCTGAAAACATTAGTTTTATAATACCCAGAAATTCATACCCAGATGTCCTCAAGGACACATGGCACAGTGGATAAAGGCGTTGGTTAGATCCAGTGACAGAACCAAAGAGTGTGAGTTCAATACCCATGTATTTACTATATCTTTTGTAGTTTTTCTACATGGTTTAGTATCATATTGACTGAATACACATGCTAAATTGTTGTTTTAAATGATTAACATTTAAAGTTGAAACCTTTTTCCAAACCAGTTGTATCAATGTTCACAAGTTAATCAGATGATTATTCTTGAAAGTGTATTCCAGATTTTATGAAATTGTTAGACAGTATCTTGATCTGTAAAAATAATTTTTCATTTTTTTTTTTTTTTTTTTCTTGCTTTAAGCCAATTCCCTCAGGGATTTAACTAGAAAGGCAAACCTCTGCTGTTTCCAAGCCATATCTTATAAATCAATGCCCCTCTCTTTTAGGGACCTTTTTTGGTCACTAAATTGTCAAAGCAATTCTAAGAAAACTAACACTACAGGAAAGTTCTAAGAGGATCAATTTGTAGAATTAAATTAATTATGCAATGATGAAATGTTGTGTATCTTGAGGTTGTATAAAGTTGCAGCTTATTTTAAAAAATTGTTGTTACACTCAATGAACTTTTCTTAATTGATTAAATTTTTCAGTGTAATTGCTTTCCTATATTCCTGATTCTAATTTCAATATTAGACACACATATGCACAATGTGTCAACATCTACACAATTGTACAGAAATTTTATCACTCGCTCTTCTACATACAGACCCACATGTGTGAAATTTATTCAGATCTCAGAAAAATTATGGGTTCCTTTTGAAGATTCTTATATTTGTTTTGGTTAGTAGGAATGCATTTATGAGATATGGTAATGTCTATTGCTTTAAGAACAGAAAGAATTCTTTTGGTATTAGATTCAATTTGAAACAAGTTGGGCTTCTGTGAATATTAAAATGTCAGTAAACAGTCATAATCTCAACTGCAAATTATACTCTCACTGTAATTTTTTTGTTATCCTATTCTAATTTATGAAAACTATCCCTTTAAGTCTTTTCTCAATGCAACCAATGAGCTGTTTTAGTTTTTCTAAATATAGTTTGGTTCAGTGAGATATTGTTTCACTTTTTCAACATGTATAATACCCTCTCATGTCTTATCACTTATAAAGTTTGGCAATTAAACCAGAAAGAAAAAATGTAGGATTGTAAAAAGAAACAGATCTTAGAACTCTGATTTCTGTAGAACATAAATATGGTTCAAAGTTGATTTTATATCTTTAGTAACCATAGACAACCAAAGAATTCCATGATGGTTTAGTGTAGTTTGGATTCACCATCTAAGAGATTCATTTCCATTGCTAAATGGAATTATTTTGTAAATGTCACATGTAAGTTAAAATTCATTAAGAATTTGATCGGTTATTATCTACATATGGTATTGATTTATGGATAATTAAAAATAATTGGGTTTGTTTCTGATATTATTTACTGGAATTTGCTTTACTCTCTATACTCTTGTGTTCTTTTTTTTTTTCTCTCTACAGCTACTTAGAAATTGTTGTGAACATGTTTTTTGCTTCCAGACATCAGTTTTTGAACATTCATTCTGACCCCCTATAAGTTTTCCTATTCCATTATGGTTGATGTTTCAATAATATCCACAATTTCCAATTCTGCATTAAAATAAATCATAGGCTTGTAAAATAAGAACAAAATGTTGCATGTATATGAAATAATTTTCTAAATAGTATCTAATAGTGTGATAAAACAGCAATAAATAAATAAAAAAACTTCATGTAAATGACTTTTTTCCATGGAACAAGAGATAGAAAAAAATGTAAAGAAAGAATATATTCATGAATTTTTGGAGAGATTAATCAGCTATTAGTACATATCTACACCATAAAACTCCTTCTGTACAAGAACAACAAAAATCATATCTTTTTATGATTTAAGAATTCTTAGAATCTTGCTAAAATATTTGTAATTAAAATTTTTTGAATTAAGGTCCCCAATATAGAAAAACATCACGTTTGCCATAGGCTCTATCATGATAATTTCCAGCCCAAGTTATCTCTATAATTCTGAACAAATCTTTGTTCTCTCCATTTATCAGTGGTTTTTACCTTCAAATTAAATCTATCTGCTTAAGAGTTAATCTGAAGCAAATTGCTGTGATGGATGGATGCCATCAATTAATCTCTCAAAATATATTCGTATCCAAGTTTTGAATTTTTGATTATTGCATCTTTTAAGAAATAGATTAATACATACTTGTACAAATTTTCTATTCCACATTAAATTAGATTCATTTGTGCTCTCTCACATTGGTAATAATTTGAAATTGAAATAACTAGTAGTACAAACAAAATTATGCTATAATAACTATTATAATATTTCAATATATGTACTATAATAATTGTATACTCTCATTTCATTTTTGCTTCAGTTTGGGGGTCCATGCGTTGGATCTGGCTCGTTGTTGTACAGAACTACCTTACTTCCCACATGTCCTGGAATTGTTGCTGCATGAGGTGCTAGAAGCTGAAGCCACTTCAAAGGAACCAATTCCAGGTAATGTTTTCTTCAGCTTATCACCCATTTACAGACTTTTTAATGTATTCATGTTCACAAAGGTAAAACTTCATCTTCTGACACTTTTTCCTCTTTATAATCTAAAATTTATATTTAATCTTAAAAACAAAAGTGACCTCTCATTTTCCAAATGTTATAAAAATGTATAAATAAACATTCAGTATTTTTCATTTCCTTCTGTTTGAAAATATATATATATATATATATATATATATTTGTATATCAAGAACACTTTTAGAGTAAAAAGCATGAGAAAGTAGAAAATTGTTTTATAATCTTGTTTTCCCCATATATAAATTTTCATTAAAAATGAATACCAACAAAAGTACTTGGAAGAAAACTGTAAAAACAAAAAAAAAAAAATTATAAATAATAAGTGTTGTAAATAACTTAAGGGTTAACTAACTAATGCAAGTGCCTTTCTGAAATTAGGTCAAACACTTTGCAATTTATTTAATTTTCTTACAGAATTTTGAAATGTTTCTTTTATCAAAAGCAGTTAGTTACTGGGATTGTACATTTTCTTTTCTTGTGCAGAATTTTCAACTTCATCAGACATTCAATTTTGTTGATGGTCTTAATAATTGTGACTTAACAACTTTGCAATAATTAAAAATAAAACTAATTTTACTTGTACTTTCAAAAGCATTAAAAGTGCTGGCAGACAACTGATGGAATGCTGAAAAGTGCTTAGCACTCGTCCAACTTCCCAAAATCTGAATAAATGGCTAAAAAGCAAAATCTTTCTGGAATCCTTTCTTGGTTATACCAAGAACTTTTAAGTACCTCATTTTTTTTTTTTTTTTTTTTTTTAAATATACAGTTTCATTACTTGACTGGTTCAACTGAAATTTGTGGATTTTCTGAAGAAATCTTTATATAGAATGTTTTTACTCTCTAATTCTTTATATTATAAACTTATTTTAATAACTGCTACAACAGTAACATTGATTTAAGTAACTGGATATTTTTATTCTAATATGACATATGCATAAATTGTTTTCAGAGAATAAATAACTTTTTTAACTTGATAAGAACCAATGCTATATTTTAATATGCATACAGGTAATATTTTTGCAATATTTTCATGTAGTGAAAAGACTGCATCAGTAACAAAATTTAATGAGAAAATTTAATTTAACATTGATAATGTTGGTTAACTATGCTAATAACCTTTATACAGTATTTTTCATAACTTAGCAAATATTTGCTGGAATTTGTATCTGATTAAAATTAACCATCCAAAGTAATTGAATTCCTGGAAGTAATGTCTAATGTACAATGTTCACAAATTCAGTTTATGAATTGGTTTAAATGCAATTTCACTTTTATTTTAAAAACTTAATTGTGCTGACTAAACTAAATTGTATAACCTTTAAGTGTTAAGGTCTGCTTTATTTAATTTTGCAAATTGATTTTTTTCTATATATGTACAGAAATAACATATTCTAATCTGTATATTAAATAGATTTGAGTAAAAATGAATAATAATTTTAAAAATATATTTTCAATTCAAAAGAAATTTTTAAAAAAATTATTCTTTCTTTCAACTATATATGAATAAATGAACATTATTTAAAGTAAATATACATTGCCAACTCACCTGTTTGCTATTTAAGATTATTATATTTTCACACTTTCAGAATTTCCTAAAATCATGACAATTTATTTTTGACGATTTTAATCATTTATTTGATATAATCTTGCTTAATTAATCAATTCATCAGGTGACAGGATATAAATTTTATTAAAAATGAATTAAAAAATATCTTACTTGTAGCTCCTAATATATTGGTGAAATACCTTCAAAATGTAGCCATTATCTTTGGGATGAATTGATATTTAATTTGTGATTTGTTTCATAAAACTATGTATTTGGATGTTTATTTTAAGATAATTTTCTTTGCCAAGTCATGTACAGAAAATAAAATTATATTGAAAACCAGGAATTATTAAAAACTTCATTACTTATTGTATCTTTTGGACCTTATTGTCATTGAAGAGATGTCCTAAATTTAGTAATGTCTCAAAGGAACAATTTAAGTCAATTAATAGTAGTCTTTATAAGTTTTCATTATAATGATGCTGCTTTATAAGTTTTTAGTAATTTATTAAGCAATTCTTTTCAGCAATGAGAAACACTTTGTAAGCTTTATGTAAATCATCTTAAATATATTTCATGAGGTTCTTTATGTCATTATTCCTTAGGACATGGGCAATCATGGCTCTCTATAATTTCCTGTCCTTTGTAGCTCTTGTAAATTTTGTTTTTTTTTTTATCTCTGTCTGTTGGGTCAAGTATTTATACAAACTTATTAAGTAGGTTAAGCATTGTTTTCCTTTATCCCTCTTGCCATCAAGATGTTCTTTCCTCATGGGCCCTAGAAATTTAAATTGTCTTTTTCTGATGTTAAGTACAAGTGTCCTTTTTGTTCCCATTTTCTCTGAAACTTTATCATTGCTCACATGTTCAGTCCATTGTATTCTCAGCATCCTTCTGTAGAACCACATTTTTTGTTGTCTTAACTCATTCACTACTTTATAGGAGTGATATTACATAACAATGCAATAATTTTTTCTTTGTTTATAATGAAATTTTCCTGTTTCTTAATACAGTTTTTGGAATTTCACTTTTGTTATCTTAATGTGCCTTTCGATTGCAGTGTCACATTTTTCCATCTTCTGTTAAAACACTTCCTAGATATTTAAGTTTTTGTATTTAATTGATTTTCGTGTCTCCAATTTGTAATTTTCATGTTGGGATTTTTTTTTTTTTTTTTGTTTTACTAACAACCATACATTCTGTTGAATTTTCAATGTGTATTTCAGCAAAGCTACATGGCATGTGTCTGTGCTGAAGCTGTGCATTGCAGCCACATGCCTTTGTGAATATATTTGTCCATAGTTTTTTGGTTTTTCATTTTCAGGTCAATTTTTGTTTTCTTACATCCAATGAAATTTCATGCTTTATAAAAGTCTATAATTTCAATAAGAAAGCATAGATTTTTTTTTTGTTTTTATATCTCCACTTGCCATTTACTCAATGTTTTCTTACTCTGTTGCAGGATTTTTATTAACAGCTACTGTTTTATATTTATTTTTGGTTTCATATTCAATAAGTTGATTATAAGCTATAACTTTCAATAGTAAAAAAAAAAAAAAATGAATAGACCTTATCAGTATTCAAGTTACTTTAGTATTGGTTTTCAGTAACTATAAACATACAAATTTTGTCAGATACTTATATTTAAAATAACATCTGAAAATATTTTAATGCTATAGATTCAGTGTGTTATATACATCAACACAAAAAATAATGGTTGAATATAGGATTGGCCAAGCAGTTTATGGTTGAATATTGGCTTGTGGCCAATTGATAAAAATATTACTGCCATTAAAAAAAAAAAAAAAATATATTTTTCTGATTTATTCTTGTTAACACCAATAAATATTTCAGATGGTGAACATTAAAGTCACAAGCAGTTTGACTATTTTTTCTTTCTTCCTTCTGATGTTTTTGTAATTCTCTTCCAAACTAGACAGATAAATTAAAATTTGAATACTTAGCTCTTTTTTATCTAAAAGAACATCAAGAATTATTTTGATTGATAACAAGATTAAAGTCTAAATTATAACCACAACTTCTAGTGCTTAATATAAGTTTTCTTAATATGGTGTATTAAGTGATTTCCAGCCTTGACTTCATTTACTGTATAAATGGTATTCTTTGATAACATTGACATAGTTTTTTTTATCAGTTTATATTGCTACAATTTTTGTCTTTCAACTTATTTAAATAATATAATATCACTCTTTTATCAGTATATAATGAGTCAGTTTAGTACATATGTTAATTACATTTTCTTTGTTCTTAGACTTGTTCAGAAGCATGAGCAAATGAAAGAATTGTATTCATTGCTCAGAATACTTACTCTTTTAATGAACATTTTGTTCTTTGCTTTCATTACAGCTTGTCACAAAGTTTTCATACTGTTATTTATGACTAGGATTTCAGATGTTTTAAGTACTTGATTAATAATAACATTGTTGAATATGATATGGTCAAGTTTTATTTCTCTTTCAAATAATTACCATGCTTTATTTTACTTACTTAAGTTTTGTGATTTCATCAATGTTTTTCAGTATATAACATATTTTGTGTCATATATGGTATATTCCCCATCTAACAAAACTGCAAAAATTACCCTGTGTTTTATAATGACCAAGTTAACAGTACTAGATTAACACTCCTGTGTTACATAATTATGATTACAATTTAAAATAATGTATGTTACAACTGCATACATATCAAAGAATCATCAGGTGAATATTTCTTGTTTTCCTAAACGTTCACTGCAATATTATAATTGTGTGTTTTATATACCTGAAAATGTTGTATATGAAAAATTGATAATTTGTTATATGATGGCAGCTAGTTTACTTTTAATAAAATGACCAAGATCTAAACATTTTATGTTGTATTATAATCCAACCTAAGACCATTTAGAGCAAGTTTCATAATGGTTGGTGCCTATTCTTTCATATATTATCTGAGAGTTAGCAATGAATGTATTCTTCTGTGTACAATCTCCCTTTATCACATTGGCTATCAACTTTCTGTCCTTTGTAGCACTTAATAAATTTTGTCTTTTTGTTATCTCTCCTAAACCTTGCTCCACCATCCATTTACTCAAGCTCACTAGGTAAGTTATGTGTTGTTTTCTTCTGTCCTTCTTGCCTTCAATCTGTCCTGTGAGCATAAAATTTTCCAAGCATTCTTTCCTCATTATGTTCCCTAGAAATTTAAACGATCTCTTTCTGGTGTTCAACTGTCTTTCTTTTGATTCATTTGCACCTAGCTTCTTAGACAGTGCTATGAAGATAGATCTACTTAGGTCTTCCTGTATATCACCACAGTTACATATTTCATTTATTATGTCTCTAATCTTGTCAATGTCCAAATCATCTAAGGCCACCAG